CATCAATTCAGCCTGGCTTGGTGGCACACACCTGTAATCCCAGCACTCAGGAGGCTGAGGCAGGAGAATCGTTATGAGCTCAAGACCAGCTGGGGCTACAAAGCTCAAGGCCAGCCAGAACTGCATAGTGAGACCCTGTCTCAAAAAGACGGGGAAATTATGCATCAATACCCACTTTTTCATGTAGGAGGTGAAATCAGAAGATCAAAAATGGCCTCCAGCAACAGAGTGGAGGTGGTCACTGCCTGGCCATCCTGGGTCCCCTCTGAGTCTAGCAAGAATCAGGGTCTCTATAGTGACACCCTTAATTGCCTTCAATACATGTATTTATTTTACATTTTTAAAGAGTAGAATATATTTCTTGAGAGAGAAACTTCTGTCTGAGAGAGAGACAGAAAGGGTCCCGAGTTGGTTACCAAAGATTTTGTTTTTTCTAGGGATTATATAGAGCAAAATCTCAAGACAGGGCAGGTGTGTGGTAGGGAAAACTTGAGAACTCACAGGGCAAGTATGAGGTGGGACAGAACTACAGTCAACCAATAAAATCACAAGTCTAATTACTCAGGTGTAATTGATTAAATCAGGATCCAATGGGGAGGCGAGTCCCATAGCAAGCAGGCATGTACACAGAGCAGGGTTGTTATTGGCTGGGGGTTGGGTTAGTGGCTCCCTCTGGCTTCCTCAAGGTGATGGAGACCTATTTAGAGTCTCAGTCCCTGAAGTATATACTTGGGGTGTGGTTGCATTTGTTTGATCTTTTATGCTGAGCTCTGTCCCATGGCCAGAGGGTCTGTCTCCTCCAGAGTTACAAGGCATGTGGTCTGCTGTACTGGCTCCTTCCAGGATGCAGCCCTGTCTCCCTGCCTAGAATGCTTCTACTCAGCTGTCTGGAACATTCCCTCTTCTGTAGAAGTGCTCTAAGCTGCCATGAGGGAGAAGTGGACGTCCATAAACTGCTTGGTTTCTGCTGGAGCAGAAATTACCCTTTTTCTACATTTCTGTCTAGTACAAGGTCTCCTTTTCCATCTTGCAGGGTCTCAGTCCACGACCTCCCAGGGGAAGCAGAAGTCATTAAAGCCTTGAGCAACAGGCTTGTTTCCATGATTCTGACCACCAGCTGAACTGGTGGAAACCACATGGAAATTCCTCTTGAGATCACCAGGACCCTAACCACTGAATTTGGTGCGGTTCCCTACCAGTTCAGTTTTTGACCACAATCGGAAAAGGAATGAGGTTTGCAAACGGAGGCGTCACTGTGTTTGGTCACTGTGGGGAGCTGGTGTGTGTGAGGGACATTCTAAATTATTCTTTCCTTCCTCTTTACCCCCTTTAAAGAGTTTTCCAGAGTCAGATTTATTTATTTGTTTAAAAGTTCCTATCCAGTTAATTATTATGAACACAATAATAACCAGGGTAATAGACCAGCACAGCATGGAAAGCACAATGGTCCATGCTGTGTTAAGATCACGTTCTCTATTTTCCCCTATTGTCTCTCATTTTTTTTTGCACTTTATGTGTGAAAATGTTGGATTCCTCCCCTAAGAGAAACCTTGCAACATTTAACTTTTGCGTCTATTTTTGTTCACTTCATGTCATGACAGATGACTGGCATTCACCCTTCTTTATGGCAGAGTAGTACTCCATTGAACATATGTACCACCTTTTCTTTATCCATTTGTGTACTGATGGACACATAGGCTGTTTCCAAGGCTCAGTGTTTATGAACTGTGATGCTATAAATGTGGATATTTGTGCACCACTGTAATGCTATGGTTATAACTCTTTCAGGAAGACACCTAGAGGGGGTCAAATGGAATTCCTCTTCTTAGTTGTCTGAAGAATCTCCATAATGGTTTGACAATTTACACTCCCTCCAAAACATGATCAAGGGAGTTCCATGCTCACCACAGATTCTCCAGCACTTGTTATTGGTTGATTTCTTGATGATGGTCATTCTTTCTGGAACGAAACAGAACCACAGTGCAGTTTTGTCTGTATGCATATATGCACATATGGAGTTATTTATTTCTTTGTTTGTTTTTTGAGAAAGGACTCTACATAGCCCAGGCTACCCTTGAACTCAAGATAATTTTCCTGCCTCAGCCTTCCTGAGGATTGGGATTACAGAGAGGGGCCATTACACCTCTCAATGTTGTTTAATTTACTTTTCTCAAATGGCCAATGATATTGAACATTTTTTGTAGAGAATTTACTGATCCTTCACACTTCGTTTGCCCATTTTTAATTGGGTCTTTAAAGTTGGGTTGGGTCTAATGGTTTTTTAGTTCTTTATATATTCTTTTGTCGGAGGAGTAGCTGCAAAAATGTTTTCCCATTCTGGAGGCTGCCTCTTCACTCTGTTTCTAGTTTCCTGTGCTGTGCAGAAAGTTTTTAGGTTTTTGTTCATTCTTCATGTTATTTCTTGTGCAACCAGGGTTCCATTCAGAAAATCATTCCCGACACCTGTGTCTTCAGGACTTTTACCTTTTTGTATTCCAAGAGCGTAAATGTTCCTCTTTAATATTAGATCTCTGATGGATTTTGGTTGCAGTTGAGTGCGCAGTGAGACCTGTGGGCCCAGACCAGGTTGTGGCGCTGGAGAGCCAGTTTGCCCAGCATCACTTCCCAGCCGGGTTTCCTCCAGGAAAGTATTTGGCCCCCGTGTCAGAGATGAGGAAGCTGAACAGGCCTGCAGGTATTCCAGCCTCCTCAATTCTATTCCACCGATCCAGGAACCTGGCGTTTCTGGCCAGGACTGTGCTGGGTTTGGTTTTTAATCACTGGAGCTTTGTAGTATAACTTGGAGTCTGGGATCGTGCGCTTCCTGCCTTGGCCTTGTTGCTCAGAATCACTTTCCCTACTCTATGTCTCTTCAGGTTCCATGGGATTTCTCCAGTTCCTTGGGAAGCTGCTTTGCTGTTTCCACTGGGGTGTGGTTCCATTGTGTGGGTGTGTGGACAGGTATGTGGGTCCATTGTGGAAATAGCTGCCGGGACCTCTTATACTCCATCCCCAAGGTGGCAGCTTGGGGATGACACCTGCAAGGAAGAAGCTCAGTTCATCAGGACTCCACAACACCTGAAGCCAGTGACCATGACATGGGACTGTGTCCCTGGGTTCAGATCCATGGATACAGAAAGCTCAGGTGCCACAAGAAGAGCCATCTGTGTCACACACACTCCCTGTGACCCTTCTAGGGAGGCCTGTGATACCTCCTCACAGCCTTATTTAGTCTCTGTGGACATAGGGATCCTGGGTCCAGAGACAAGGAGACGCCAAGAACCACGTGGAAGGAAGCCTTGGTCTGCACGGTATTACTGTGTGTGGCACATGGAGACTCCTCAATTCTACTCCACCTATCCAGGAGCCTGGCATTTCTGGCCAGGACTGTGCTGGAGTCGGTTTTTCATTGCTGTAACGATTAAAGGACCTGGTTCTACTGACCCCTGAATTAAACTGAGGAAGAAGAGGTTTGGGACACCCTGGACAAGGGGGAAAGTGCATGGAGCACTCAGGGGACCCCAGGGTTGGTGTTCCCTGGCATTTCCAGTCTTATTTTAACTGGGGATTGGTGAGGACAACAGCTCCAATCCAACAAGGACATGGTGTGGAGAGGCTCAGAACTGTCCAGATAACACCTGGAAGACCACCAGAAAAGTCGCCAAATCACCACAGGGCCACACCAAGGCACCCTGGACAACTTTCTCTAGTAATTAGAACTAACCAGCTGGAGGGAGATCAATGGGAGAAACAGGAGGACAGGATACTTCCGGATTCCTTTTTCATACTGGGTCACTGTCCAGAAGCTGCAGGGCTGCTCAACCTAGATGGGGCACGGTACAGCTGCTCTCCTCTCCTGGTGACTGTCCTCGGCTATTGGCACTGCTTCCCATGGAGCTGCCGCTCTGACCACATCCTCTTCTCCTGCCCAGGGTGGCCTGTAGCCAGCAGTAACAAACAGAGCTCGCACCTCAGCCCCCGCGCCCCTGGGACAGGCAGGTCTGAGACCCCATGCTCTGGGACTCCTGGGCATTCCATGAGGTAGAAGGTACGGAGCATGCACGGTGTCTCTGCTTCTCTTCCTGCTGTGAGTCCTAGATTTCTCCTGGACACATTTCTTTATGAATCTTTCCTGCAAGGGTCCATTTTAATGTTTTCTTCGTACTTCATCCAGGCACACAGATCTTAGCAAAGCACACCTGACACACAGCCTCCTGCACACACATACAGGGGCAGTGTCCCCTGAATGCAGCCTGCCGTAGGTTAAGAGTGGCCAAAAGTGTTGTTCACCGCTCATCAGATCCAGGTGTGTCATGCAAAGAGCATTAGACATAAGCAGTCTAAAAATGACCCTGACAAAGTCAGAAACTTGGAAAGAAGCAGGAGATTCACTCTTACCTTGAACAGTGAACCCAAGAACAAAGCTCAACCTGAGAACTAGGGACACTGCATGATAGCGTGTGGAGAACCACTGAGATGTGGAATACAGGTATCTCAGGAAAAGCACCTTCGGCCACAGCCCCACACCCTGATTGTGGAGAGAAATTTATTTACTCGGAAAAGGAAGTGCTGTGGGGATCCTGGGAGAGGATGGAGGGCAGCCAAGGCGCTCAGGTAAAGTAACAGAGTGTCACATCCTGGGAGGCAGCAGCAGGGCCCATCACACCAAGGACCTCTACCAGACTGCAGTGCCACATTCTGTCCTTCCATGGCCCTACCCCTGCCCCTACCGCCACCCTTCACCCCTTCTCCAGGGGAGGCCAGCGAGAGCCCTTATTCCCACTTCCCTGACCCAGAGTGAGCTCTGCTCCCAGAGTTTTGCTCTCCTGCCCAGAGCCTGCTCCTCCCCCAGGGCACATTCTCAGCAAGGAGCCTGCAGGTGCTGAAAACCTCCTTCCTGTCTGAGGATGAGGAGTATGGAGGGCTGCAGGGGCTCTGCTGAGAATGATGGATGCCTAAGGACAATGATTCAAGAAGGAAAAACAAGCAGGCAGGATGCCTTTATGCAGGTTGTCTGAAAACTTCAAGTTTATTTAAGAGGTTAGGATAGTTCCAGGTGAGAAAATGGGGGAGAAAACAGATATTTCCATAGGGATCCAAGAGTATTTGACAGAGTTTAAACAGGTATACATTTGTGATCCCATAACGGGGTGGAGGGTCAACATGTGGAGGCCAAAAGCAATCCCAGGTGGAGCTGAGGTTTCATAATCCCCCCCTCATAACTCAGCTGCCCAGCGGTCTACACCAGGGCTGACTAGTGATGAAGCCCCCTAGCAGGCAGGGCCATGCTCTCAGCAGCACGAGGCACTAGAGCAGCTGGGTTGGCAGCAGCTAGAGATGCAGCACTGGGGCCTGCAGCAGCTGGACACACAGCAGCTAGGGCGGCAGCAGCTAGAGATGCAGCAGGTGGGCTGGCAGCACTGGGGCCTACAGCAGCTGGAGATGCAGCAGGAAGGTCTGCAACATGTGTTCCTGCAGCAGGTGGTCTCACAGCAGGTGGGCTGGCAGCAGCTGGAGATGCAGCAACTGGGGCGACAGCAGCAGGGCTGGCAGCACTGAGGCCTGCAGCAGCTGGAGATGCAGCAGGTGGGTCTGCAGCACTGGGGCCTGCAGCAGCTGGAGATGCAGCAGCTGGGCCTGCAGCACTGGGGCCTGCAGCAGGTGGAGATGCAGCAGCTGGGCCTGCAGCAGCTGGAGATGCAGCAGCTGGGCCTGCAGCAGCTGGGCTGGCAGCACACAGACTGGCAGCACTGGGGTCTGCAGCAGCTGGACACACAGCAGCTAGGCCGGCAGCAGGTGGTCCTGCAGCAGGTGGTCTGGCAGCAGCTGGGCTGGCAGCAGCTCTCCTGGCCACAGCCCTGCTCAGAGCAGACGGAGCCACAACAGGAGTTGACCATGGTGTCGGGGCTGAGGTTCTGGGTGAGTTTGCGAGGTGGAGGTCTGTGAGATGTGGAGGCCTCCCTGCCCTGGGCCCCTTTTATACCCTGCTAAATGGTCACCATCTTTACTGGCAACATTCTTTCCTTGTTATTGTTTTTATTTTTCAAATAAACAAGCAATTATCAAATTAGGTGAGTTTATTTTGCTGGTAACATTTTCAAGGTGCATGGTAAGTAGTACTTCCCTCTCCTGGTGTGCCAGGATTCATCTGTCACCTCTTTGTGAATCATCCCTGCTGCCCTCACTTTATTTTCTTCAAAGAGATATGTCACATGACCTTCTGCCTCTTGGAACTACAGGCTTCTGGCTCACCTTGTATACACATCTTGTCTGCCCTGGAGTGACAACGATTCCCATAGGCTCATGGTTCTTCCTGGTAATCCAGGAGGATAAATCTGCATTTTATTCCAGCACACATTTGCTATGGGTCAGGGAGACAAAGAAGGGTTAGGACATTCTCCTGCCCTCCACAGTGAGCAGGGCCCACTTTGTAGGATATTTCTTGGGAAACAAGGAACTATTTTCTGTGTTGTGGCAACACCTCAAGTTATGGATTTCTCTGTCTCTGTCTATGACTCTCTTTCGGTTTTGTTTTTTGAGACAGAGTCTCACAGTGTTGTTCAGGCTGGCCTTGAACTCACTATGGAGCCCAGGCCAGCCTTGAACTCATGGCGATCTTCCTGCCCTCAGCCTCCCGAATGCTGGGATTACAGGTCTACACTTACACACCTGGCAAAGCTATGAAATTTTGATGTTTCTTTTTCTCCAGAAACCTCTAAAATTTATTTTCTTGCTTCCCGGTGGCAAGTGAGGTTTGGATGGGCTTCCCTGTGGGTTTCAGTTCCCTCGACTCCTACATCAGAGGTGATTTTTCTTATCTGACTACGGGCTTTCTGGCTGTAACTGATTATTCTGAGCCATATTCTCCATTTGCAGGGTTTTCTCGCCAACCCTCTTCAGATGACCAGATGCTTTCACCTGCTTCTCCAGCTCATCCTCCACTGTGCCCTGCCGCATTCTCTGTTGGGCTGCCTGGCCACTTGGATCCCCTACCCTCTCCTGCTTCCACATTTGATTTGTTGATGAGAACTCACTCTGGTGCTTTATTTTCCAAAAAGTAGAGACAGATAGAAAAGCAGAGTGAAAGCAAGTTTCTACATCAAAGGACTCTGCCTATATTTTTAAATGTAAAATCATGGTAATGCTTGAAGGTAGAGAAGATGCCTAACACATGACTATCTTTCCAAAAATGAACAAGGCTGTCGGTCTAAGCCCTGGAATATACACATCCTTCCACCTCCGGAAGTCAGGGCAGCCCAGGAAGGGAAACTCCTGTGCTTCACCGAGGGCCGGTCAAACCCTCAGATACACGGGAAAAACAAAGAGGCAAACATTAGGGCCCAAAGGGGACCAGAAGTGGCTCACTTCTGGGGGACTGGCTCCACTACTTCTGCAGTTGGCTCGCAGGAAGGGTGTGGAGGATGGAGGTGATTAAGTTCCTGAGGAACCAGATTTTCTCTAAACCCAAACGCCTGCCTTGTGGCAGCTGTCCTCAGCAGAGGCTGTCTTGCCCCCAGGAGCGCTGGGCTGTTAGCATTCCTCCCAAAGCCAGGGGCACATGTCCTTCAGTGTCCTTCCCTTTCCCTGAAGCAAGGTCACACTGACCTCCAGACTGTGGGGGTTTAAGTCACATAGTCAGACCCCCCATAGTAGCCTGGTCCCAGCGGCACCTGTGCCCTGTTCTTGCAACCATGTGCCACTTCCCGCTTTGAAACGGTCATAGGGGAGTGACCCTGGCTTGGACTGATCTCTCTGAGTACAACTGATAACTCAACTCTGTCGATGGCCTTTCTAGAAAATACGTTCATCAAAGTAGTCAGGGGCCATGAAGTTAGGGGACAGTGATTGCACTGAACAGCAGCATCATGGTTCCAAATGTTTTAGGCACACTCTCCCAAGAGAGTGCGTCTGACAGGATGAAGTGTCAGAGACACCGTTCAGTCTAAGCATTGTTAATGCAGCATGGTGCACGAGGTTAGGGAGTTGTGGGCATGTGTAGCTCAACTGCTTGGGAGAACTGATGTTTTTTAGCAATCCACATACCCAGAGTTGGGCCCTCCTCTGCACCTTACTTTCTGCTAGGTATAACGCAATCATTCAGATGAGCGTGGTAAACCAGCCTTGGGTAGAATAACAGGTTGAGACCTAAAGGAGTAAAAAGAGCCACTGGATTAGAAGAGGCTGAGGCGCTTCGTGATGACAAACACATGGTTTTCCACATTGCCGAGCTCACTCAGCCCGCGCTCTCTGCCAGCTGTGCGCTGCCACCGAATCCTCATGAACTCCTGTGTGCCAGGACCAACCCATTCCTGGAAGTGTGCTAGTTACAGGGAAGATCAGATAGCTCTCCTCTCAGGGCACTCAGAACACAGCTGGCAACTGCATTCAATGCTGGGCTATGGAAGGATAAGGATCAACTGAAATTTATGGAAAATGAAGTTGATATAACAGTGGCTTCATGATCAATGACCAGCAAGTGAGGGAAACTGAGAATCTGGCCTGCAGAAGACAGCACCAGGCCACACAATATGTGCCCTGCGTGAGGACTGGATGAGCCCCTGTGCAGGTGGCTAGGGAATGGGGGCCTCTGGTGGTAGATGGAGGTGCTTGTCTATGAGCCAGGGCTGCCGAGGAAGCCTCTGAACCGAGGAAGGAGACTGGACCCCGTGACTCTTCCCTTCCAATCCTCAGACACATGAGAGCCTAAGAAATCAACTTAGGATGTGCTAGGGTGCTCCTGCCTTCCTGGCCAGTTTCTGCTTCTCCCTGTGTCCTCCATCCCAAAACTTGGGCTCCTGGTTGGACCCACATGGAGCTTGGAATGGGGTCTGAGTTTGGATTATTCACTGGCTCCAAGGAACTCACATAAAGCCTCATGTTGGGGTCCTGAGCCTTGCCCTTGGTGAGGGGAAATGAAGGAACAGAAGCAGTTTCCAAGCTGTTGTGGGATAAACGCGTGGGTAAGCCCTATTACAGGAAATGAGGACAATCCTGTATTTGGGGGAAGAATGGTGGCCATGAAGCGCCCTGGTGAGCAGTGCCCCATGATTCAGTGAAGGTCACTGTCCTTTGCATTAATTATTTTTCCCTTTATAATGTGTGTGTCTCTGTTTGTGTGTGATGGGAGGATTTAGACTAGCTTTAGAAATCTCTCATGATTTTTTAGTGCTTTAACATTTTCATCTTTTCCAGTTTTACTGAGGTGCAGCTGACAAATGAAACTGTTTACATTGAAGGTACAGAATGTAATCTTTGATGTAGACATGTATTAGAAATTATTGCCACAGTCAAGTCAATCAAGCTGTATCAATTCATGCCCTCGCTGTGTGTGTGGTGAGAATATTTAAGATCTATTATTTTACCAAATGCTAAGTATCCCATGCAGGATTATTAACTGTACTCACCACATCGTACTCTGGCTCCCCTGGCTTCATCTCACAGTTGAAAGTTGTTACTCCTTGATCCTCATCTCTCTTTTCTTCACCCTTGACTCCGGTTACCATCATCTCCTCATCCATTTCTCTGAATTCAGCAGCTGTAAATTCCATGTAGAAGTGCAACCATACAGCGTTTGTGTTTCTCTGACATTGCATTTATTATAATGTCCTCAAACTCCATCCGAGCTTTCTCGAGTGACACAGCTTTCTTCTCTTTATAGCCGGTGATGTTCTTGGGTGCGTATGCATCATATCTTCTTCCTCCAGTCATCAATGAGTGAACGCTTCAGCTGTTCCTGTATCTTCGCTGGAATGGATAACGCTACAGTGAACATAGGAATCCAGGTGTTCATCCAAAACACTCATTCATTTGGTTTTCTTCAGGAATATACTCAGTATTGGGTTTGTTGGACCGTGTCATAGTTCTATTTTTAATTTTTTAAGAAGTCTCTGTCCCATTTCACATAACAGCTAATTTACATTCCTACCAACATGACTCCCTTTTCCCCACATCTTTGCCAATAGTAATAATTTTAAATAATAGCCATTCTATCACACACGAAGTGATATCTGGTATTTTCCTGATGATTAATGATACTGAGCGTTTTTTATGTATATCTGCTGCCTGTTTTTATGTCCTCTTTCAGAAAATGCGTATGCAGGTCATATACCTATTTTTATTGTTTTGTTATAAATCCCTGACACACTTCAGATATTAGCCCCTTATTATTGAGAGCTCATGATGAGACCCCAGCCCACTCTAGCGAATCCAAGAAACCTGATTTATTCTTCTGTGGATGGGCCAGTCTGATCCCCTTCCACAGAAATGAGCCCCCTTTGGCTGTGAGCTGAAGTCCTGTCCCAATTTTCTCTTATGTTCTAACTGCCTAATAAGTCTACCTACGCCTCTTTCCTGGCCTGTCCTGAAATGCTTTTCTATGACAAGAGTCTGTCAGCCTACTCCACGGGTCCTTAGAAGGAACTTTCTCCCATCTTCTGGAACCTTGTCTGGTGACACTATGAATTGGAAGGGGACACCATAATCTCAGGCAGGAGGGCCGACTCAGGATGGGGAAGGCACGGCCCTTCCCTGTTCTTCGTTGTTTCTGTAGCAGTTCCAGTGTGCAGCTAGAGAATCAAGGCTCCAGAACAAGACACCAAAGTTGGACACAGAGCTGCAAAAATCAGACAACCTCAAGATGGAAGCATAGGTGCATGTGAGCCACCAAATATGGAACAAACTGATCTGGAGGTCAGGAGGACAGAGAATCAGTCAGACCTCAGGGAGCCTGAATGTGAGTGTGGGAACTCCCCCAAGCCCTCTCCTGCCAGCTCTCCAGCAATAAAACCGAGTCTCTGAGCTCTGCCCTGGAAGATGCTGGTGCACACGTAAAGCTCCCTGACTTACAGTTCCCACCAGAGGGACCGGTTCTTAAATCACCTGACGCTGGGAGTGGCCAGGTCTCTTTCACCAGTGCCCTGGGAGAAAGTGGTAGCTTGAAAGATACAGGCAAGCCCTCCCTACTCGACCTCACCAGTGCAAAACAGACCATAATAGTGGGGCAGGTTCCAATTTCTCCCCGAAAGGAGTTAGCTGGGATGCTATCCTGGCTTTTGTCCCAGGCTCGGGATTCCAACTAATCTACTTCTGGAAAACAACCAGCACGGTAGGTAATGAATAGGCCTCTGCTCTCCCACCCCAATAAAACCAAATCTCCAGCCTCTCCCTGGGAGCCTGACCACATACCAAACACTCTAATTTTTATAGCTTCAATCAAAGAGAATAGCT